CGGCGATCGGTGGCAGGTGCAGGTCGCGAGTCTTACCCCCCCACAGCCGTCGAAGAGAGCAACAAACCTACAGCGCAACCCAGATTGACTTCGTCTTTCCTCCCACAAGCAAGCAGACAAAGCGACCTACATGCCCGTCTCGACGAAGCCCCTCACGGCCTAGACGTAATAGCAGTACTAAGTGGCAGACTGGTCCCTGTCGCCACACATGACATCACTTCCGCGCTAGGACAGTACCTGGCCGTTGTGCAGGGCGGACATGATGAAGCTCTCTGCGAGGTCGTCGAGGTGTTGGGCGAGGACGAGCTTGTTGTAGCCCTGCTCCCGGCAGCAAGCGTACAGCAGGCCGCGTTTCATCCTGCGACATCGTGTCGTCGTCCGATGCGAGTTGCGCGTACGGGCAACACGAGAGAGCCCCCAAGATGATTTGGTTTGGCAGGAGTGATAGCAGCAGCAGCAGCAGCAGCAGCCGCAAAAGCTACAGCTGGGATGGCGAATAGTCTGGCAGTTCGTGCCTTGAACGAAACCCTCATCGTCATCATCATCATCATCATCATCATCATCATCATCACCATCATCATCACAATCATAATCATCACAATCATAATCATCAGCATAATCATCATCATCATCAAGGATGACGGCTAATCTGTTAGTTCCAGCAGGGCCGGAGGTGGCGATTCCCCGAGGAGCAGGGTTGGAGGGGAGGGGGGGGAAGGGTGATCGTTCAACACTTTCTTACACCCATAGGGCATCTGAGAGACCCGGGCATTCGACTCCAGGTAGTCTAGAGCCTGCACGCTTTCGTGGTAAAGCAAGCTTCATTTGAAGTAGGCAGGCAGCCGCAGGGACCTTGGCTTGAGGTTGGTCGGAAGTCGAAACCGGTACGAAGGCAACGACCCTTGATGTTTACAACGACGCGGGAACGGGAGAGGATGGCCGCTGGCCACCCCCGAGGTCGGCCGAGATAAAATGTAATAGAGCATGGCGTTGCGAAGGGAGGACATGGCTACCGCCAACAAGAATTAAAATAGGGAAAACGACACAACAGGGTATACCCTGTTGTGTCGTTTTCCCTTTTGTTTTCATCAAGCGCTAACTACGAGAGTTGTCGCCTGGGGCGATTCACGCACAGACATAGAGAGCGTAACAGCCGGAACCACACGCATGAGTAGAGAGCGGCGGCCGGAGTTGATGGACTTTATTTCGCAACAGCGCTACATACCTCCTCGAGTTGTCGCCTTGGGCGATTCACGCAGTCTGTTTAGGCCAGAACCAAACACACCAATCGTGTTTGGCGGCCGTGGTTGATGAGCTTGTCGATTCTGAACAATGGCTATCTACCAGGGTTGTCGCGTGGGGCGATTCGCGCAGATCAGTTTCGCCGGAACGTAGCACATCAATCATGTTTGGCGGCCGTGGTGGTGAGCTTTAGGTTTGAGCGCTAGTTAACCCCGGTTGTCGCATGGAGCGATTCACGCAGATTAGGTTATGCCGGGACCAAACACATCAAATCGTGTTTGGCGGCCGTGGCTGGTGAGCTTCGTTTTGAACAGTCCCACCTGCCCGGGTTGTCGCATAGGGCGATTCACGCAGATTTATTTTTTGATGCTGGTACCGATCGTGTGTGACGGCCGTGGTTGGTGAGCTTCTGCTACCTACCACACCACGAAAAAATAGACCGTGTACCAGGTAGGCTTCTATTTCTGCTGCTACATAGACGAGTATATTGCCGTCGGTAAGGGTGATCGGTCGCTGGATTTCTCGCACTATTGCCAAAGACCGAGCCTATTGACAGATGACTTGTGCAATCTATTGCAAATTGAAATGCCTGTCGAATGTCACGATAGACATCGTTGGCAACAACAGACTTCGAAGGCTTCCTTCCGATAGACATTGCGGGCAGTATTAGAAGAAGCCTTCGAACATGTTCTCGTGCAAGTGGATATCCTTTACGACCTTGAGGAGAGATTGCTCGAGATAACGACTATCGATGTTGCGTTTCGATATATATCGGTAGCCCGCTCAAGAATCTACTGCAGTAAACGATGTATATCGATGACATGTCATGAACCCAGTGGCAATGGCTTCGGAGAAAACCGTTGAACGTCTGTTGCTATGCACAATTCATATCAATAGGCACCATCGAAATCTGTTACGGTTGACAACAGATATCGACCGAACCTTTTGAATAATTTGTTGTCCTTGACAAGGGAGGTCGAAAGGAACTTTCAAAATCCACTGTTTTGGACAATGGATATCGGGACAAACCTCTCAAAAT